GTTTTCTTGTAAAATACCATATAATGCTGTTGTATTCACAGTGACTGAGACACTGTCACCATCCTACAATGATCAAGAACTTTTTCCACTGACAAAGAGATCAATGTTTTCAAACTCTTCTTGGAAAAACACTGCAGAAAACAAGCCCACAAATTATTCCTCTGTTTTTTTCACAAACCTTGCAGATTTCTGAAAGTTGCTAGGAAAAAGTTACAAGCAAAAATACCCAGCTGAGAACTTAACTCAGTGTGGAAACAACAGTAAGAAATACAAAGAGAATAAAGGAAAAACAGGAGCTACAGATATCTGAATTAACTTAGTGTAGTGTTTTCCTCATTAAACCCAAAGGCAGTAATACTGAAGGCACTGGATTCAAAGACACAGACTGTGGGCTCACTATGAGGTTTGACACAAACTTTCTAGCTGTTGATTTCATGGTGTTATTCTCATGTGTAGCAGTTTGCAGTTTCAAACCTGTTCTCCACAGTTTCACTGGAAAGAAACCTAAATTACAATAAAATCATAATGCTGCTTGTGCAACATGATATTTTTTAAATATAAATCAAATTACATAAGATAAACAATGAAGTCAAACATATTTCCATAAATACAGCCCTTTCAGTTGATTGAGTTTATTGGTGCAACTAAGTGAAACTAGTAGTGCTAATTTACAGAATAAAGTTGAAAGCAACAAGTGATGTTCATCAGTAGATAAGACACTAAAAGCAGATTCTGATTTCTCTCAAGTGCAACTACATCCCTTATGACTCCTTTGTATTGTAAATGGTATTTTTCAGCCAAGACTGTCAGTACTGCTGACTATAAAACAGAAACAACACAGCTGACCCTTCACAAAGAACTTTAAATATAAAAAAAATCCCCCTTCCCACAGACAGAATAAAAACATCTTTCCTATACATTTTTTTAACATCTTGCGCTTCATAAAACATTAGCAAGTCTAAATCTGCTGGTGTCATGGAAATTATATTTAAATTAATTCTGTTTTCTTACAGGTATCTCCTCATATTCTACAAGTCCTCTCTTATTTAACATCATGCATTCAAACACAGAATTTGGGAGCAGGATGGATCATGCTTGATTTTCCATTTAAGAAGAAAGCATATTGTTTCAGTAGGTTATCAAGATTCCCTCTTTGCTCAGAGAAGACAGACACCCTCAGAGGACAATCCACGTACTGTCGGGAGAGTTCTCAATGGCATCTGAAATACTCTTAAGCTCAAGTTGCTGCTGAAAGGAGCACCACCATCCTCCCTCAGCTGCACATTCCTACAGGCTTTTGTATGTTCACATTCAATGAGATCAGGAAACAGATTAAGGTGAAAATTAACCCCCAAATTCAGGTGAAAGCACACCAGGCAACAACCTTTCAGAATCACAAAACCCAATATGAGTCAACAAACATCTACAGAAAAAGATCTGTGTGCAGAGAAAAGCAGCCTGCACCCAGTTTCATTTAAAATAGTGATAAAACTGTAGCTGAATATAGGAGACAGTTCCAGACTACCCTTCATTACAGAAGAAACCTAGACAACACTGTAAGACTAATGAAATTATATGAAACCTGCTTAAATGTCTCTAAATTCCCTATGGTCTATAGACTGTGGTTGAGGGATTTTTTTCTGCAGTGCTTGTCGAGCCAGGTTTTTTCTTACATATCATTCAATTGTTTGTACAAAACTTCTTTGCAGTGAAGATACAAACAACAAAGCAAGCTTCTAAATGTAAGATGCTTTTGTCCTTGCCTTATTGCATTAGTGCAGCCAGCTAGGTCCATCTTTAGAATTTCAGAAACTAAATCATAAACTTCTTCATGTACAATTGAGTTCTACCTTAGAAAGTTTTTTTTTTAGAACTTTAATGATTTGTATTATTAGTTCATAAAAACCACTAAAGCTTATGCTGCAGGGTTTCTAAGCACAATGAGACAATCTCCATGGATTATTTTTAGCAAGTAACTCTATATCATGGGAACAAACAAAAATATTATTCATTAGAAAATACTGAAAATAATCTGGCATATGCATATTTTTAATTCCTATGCTACACCTTTAGAGTGAAAGTTAAACTCTTCCCTTCAAACGAAAACAAATCGAACCAAACAAACAAACAACAAAAAACCCAACCAAAACCAAAACCAGAAAAAAAACCCTGGAAGCCTGGCTGCTTCTTCAACTTAATATGACCAAATAACGGTTTGCCAAGGAAAAAAAAAAAAACAAAAAAAAACTCTTCTCTATAAACAAACTAAATTTATCATATTTCAGGTGAACAAGTAGACTGCTTTTTTAAGACTGAGGATACATAAATACACATAGAATAACACTTTATTTTTAAAATTTCCATTTCCATAATTTCTATGTCACTTATTTTGTAAGACATACCAGGCTGCTTATAAAGTTTGCGCAGACAGCATCAGACCTGCGAGATGTCAGGGAAGCCGAGGGGAAGCAGGAATGCTTGCTCCTGGCCCAAACTGTGCAGGGGCCTCAAGCTTCCCCTCTAGCTCATGAAGGAAAGAAGGAGGCCGTTAACCTGCAAGGCTGTGAATTAGTGTCAAAAAAAAAACAAACAAACAACAAAAAAAGGAGGAAAAGGAAAACCAAAAGCAAGGGGCTTCCCCCTAAATCTGTTGTCCCCACATAGAACCGCTTTGCTGTCCTGCAGGGGGCTAATGAGGAAACGCACTCAAGCCAGAAACAACCGGCTGATGCCCGGGTAAAGATCACTACTGGTGCTGCTAGGAAAAAGCGGCGGGTCATAGTAGTAGGAGACTCTACACTGAAAGGGACAGAAGCACTCATCTGCCGGCCAGACCCCGTCTCAAGGGAGGTGTGCTGCCTACCAGGGGCACGGATCAGGGATGTGGCAGAGAGGCTGCCTGCTCTAGGAAGTCCCACGGACTATTGCCCACTTCTAGTGATCCATGTGGGTGCTACGGATATAGATAGTAGTAGCCTGGGGAACATAAAGAAGGACTACAGAGCCCTGAGGGAAGTGGTTATGGGCTCTGGAGCTCAGATTGTCTTTTCGTCAATTCTCCAGGATACAGGGGAAGACCTAAAAAAAGCTAGGAGGATTGGCCTGGTTAATATATGGTTAAATGGGTGGTGCCATAGTCAGGGGTTTGGGTGTCTTGAACAAGTTTGTAGGCCAGGTCTAGTGGGGAATGGTGGAGCTGGTCTAAAGAAGGGAAAGAGCAGTTTTGGTAGGAGGCTTGCCAGACTGGTCAAGGAAGCTTTAAACTAGATGTGTTGGGGAAGGGGGGGAATCATTCCATCCCAACACACCCATTCAGTTGCCAGCACCTATAATAAATGCTTGGACCAATGTAGAGATATCCCAGCAGCTCCAGCCCATGAGCTGGCTTCAGCTGGATCTCGGCTCAGATGCCTCTATACAAATGCCCATAGCGTGGGGAACAAACAAGAGGAATTAGAGATGTGTGCATGTCTATGGGCGTATGATATAACAGGCATCGCAGAAACATGGTGGGATGGCTCCTGTGACTGGAGTGTTGGAATGAAAGGTTACAGGCTTTTTAGAAAAGACAGGCCTGGCAGGCAGGGAGGGGGAGCTGTCCTTTATGTTGGGGATAAGCTGGAGAGTATGGAACTCTGTCTAGGGACAGATGAGTTGTCAACAGAGAGTTTGTGGGTCAGGGTTAAAGGGAAGATAGCTATGGGAGACATTACTGTGGGGAATCTCTTACAGACCGCCTGATCAAGGAGAACCTGGGGATGAAGCACTCCATACACAGATAGGAAAAGCCTCACACTCACAGGCCCCTGTTCTCATGGGTGACTTCAACCACCCTGACATTTGTTGGAAGGACAGCACGGCCCAGCACAAGCAATGCAGAAGGTTCCTCGATTGTGTAGAAGACAAATTCCTTCTGGAAGTAATAGAGGAACTGACAAGGAGAGGTGCCATGCTTGACCTCGTGCTCACCAACAGGGAAGGGCTCATTGGAAATGTGACGCTCCAGGGCAGCCTTGGATGCAGCAATCACAAGATGGTCGAATTTGAGATTCTCAGGATAGTGAGAAGAGTGTGCAGCAAGCTCACTGTCCTGGACTTCAGAAGAGCAGACTTTGGCCTCTTCAGGAACCTGCTTAGTAAGGTTCCATGGGATATAGCCCTAGAGGGCAGGGGGGCCCAAGACTCTTGGTTGATATTCAAGGATCACCTGCTACAAGCTCAGGAGTGTTGCATCCCAAATAGAAGGAAGTGCAGCAGGAGGGCCAGGAGACCTCCTTGGATGGATAAGGAGCTGCTGAGGAAAATTCAAATGAAATGCTTCTATGATTCTATGATTTCCTATGAAAAGTGCGACTGTGCAAGTGACATTTCAAAAGCTATTCCACCAGCCAGTTAGCAACACAAAGACCAAATCACTTTTGTGTCTCAGAGCTTACAGAATGTGGGCTTGTGCCATGTTACCTCCTAGTCCTACCAAATAGAGTCCTAGTATGCTCCATGGTCTCCTTGCTCTCTGAAGAGAGATGAAGATCAGGAAATTCCCAAGAACTGCAAAACAACGTAAAACCATTTGAGTAAATCAGTATGGTGGCTGAGAAAATACAGAAAACATAGAATCATAGAATCATAGAATAGTTCAGTTTGGAAAGGACCTTAAGATCATCAAGTTCCAACCCCCCTGCCATGGGCAGGGACACGTCATGCTAAACCATATCACCCAAGGCTCTGCCCAACCTGGCCTTGAACACTGCCAGGGATGGAGCATTCACAACCTTCCTCGGCAACCCATTCCAGTGCCTCACCACCCTAACAGGAAAGAATTTCCTCCTTATATCCAATCTAAACTTTCCCTGTTTAAGTTTTAACCCGTTACCCCTTGTCCTGTCACTACAGTCTCTAATAAATAGTCCATCCTCAGCATCCTTATAGGCCCCCTTCAGATACTGGAAGGCTGCTATGACGTCTCCACGCAGCCTTCTCCAGGCTCAACAGCCCAACTTTCTCAGCCTGTCTTCATACAGGAGGTGCTCCAGTCCCCTGATCATCCTCGTGGCCCTTCTCTGGACTTGTTCCAACAGTTCCATGTCCTTTTTATGTTGAGGACACCAGAACTGCACACAATACTCCAGCTGAGGTCTCACAAGAGCCGAGTAGAGGGGCAGGATCACCTCCTTTGTCCTGCTGGTCACGCTCCTTTTGATGCAGCCCAGGATACGGTTGGCTTTCTGGACTGCGAGCACACACTGCAGGCTCATGTTCATTTTCTCATCGACCAACACCCCCAAGTCCTTCTCTGCAGAGCTGCTCTGAATCTCTTCTGTGCCCACCCTGTAGCTGTTCCTGGGATTGCTCCAACCCAGGTGTAGGACCTTGCACTTGGCATGGTTAAACTTCATAAGGTTGGCATCAGCCCACCTCACAAGTGTGTCAAGGTCCATCTGGATGGCATTCCTTCCCCAACTGAACCACACAGCTTGGTGTCATCAGCAAACTTGCTGAGGGCACACTCAATAACAGTGTCCATGTCAGCGACAAAGATATTAAACAAGACCGGTCCCAACACCGATCCCTGAGGGACACCACTCGTTACTGGTCTCCAGCTGGACATTGAGCCATTGACCACAACTCTTTGCATGCGGCCATCCAGCCACTTCTTCATCCACCGAGTGGTCCACCCATGAAATTGATGTCTCTCCAGTTTAGAGATAAGGATGTCATGTGGGACAGTGTCGAACGCCTTACACAAGTCCAGGTAGATGACATCAACTGCTCTACCCCTGTCCATCAGTTCTGTAGCCCCATCATAGAAGGACACCAAATGGGTCAGGCAGGATTTCCCCTTAGTGAAGCCATGCTGGCTGTCACCAAGCACCTTGTTGTTTTTCATGTGCCTTAGCATGCCTTCCAGGAGAATCTGCTCCAAGATTTTGCAAAGCACAGAGGTGAGACTGACTGGTCTGTAATTCCCCGGGTCACCCATTTTCCCCTTCTTGAAAATGGGGGTTATATTTCCCTTTTTCCAGTCATCGGGAACTCACCTGACTGCCATGATTTCTCAAATATGATGGCCAGTGGCTTAGCAACTTCATTTTCCAGCTCCTTCAGGACCCACAGATGGATTTCGTCAGGTCCCATGGATTTGTGTACGTTCAGGTTCCTAATATGGTCTTGCACCAGATCCTCTGGTATAGTAGGACTAGGGTCTTCATTCTCACAGTCCGTGTGTCTGCCTTCCAAGACTTGGGTGGGTGTGGTCAGAACCTTTGCCAGTGAAGACCAAGGCAAGGAAGTCATTCAGAACCTCAGCCTTCTCCAAATCCTGTGTAGCTAGCTCTCCCAAGAGCTTCCTGGGGGGCCCTACATTCTCCCTTGTCTGTTTTTTATTTGCTATGTACCTGTAGAATCCCTTCCTGTTATCCTTAATATCCCTAGCCAAGTTTAATTCTAACTGGGCCTTAGCTTTTCTAACCTGGTCCCTAGCTTCCCAGACAACATCCTTGTACTCTTCCTAGACCGCCTGTCCTTGCTTCCACTTTTTGTAAGCCTCTTTTTTCATTTGAATTTTCCTGAGCAGCTCCTTATCCATCCAAGGAGGATATGAGGCCTTGTTAATACCAAGTACAAAATCTGGGCCTTCAAGCATACTAAACCATGAGACCACAGTGCACCAAGTCTAAAGCTGGCACAAGGTTCCTGAAACCTTTCATAGGTAGACTTAAGGCCCTGACGTCTCACTGTCCATTCTCCAGCCCAAGAAGTGTCTAGCTGCTAGTAAACACATAAAGTATTATTATTATCTCTTCACAACATATATCTGAAATTTAATTTTATTTCTGGGTCTCAGTATTGCTGTTTTAGACAGCCATGCTCTTTTGCAGTTGAATTAGTTCTAATTCACAAGTTCAGAACAATGCAGACCCTGAAACAGCTGACATACTTATGTGGTAACACCTATCCGTGAGCCTCTGATCTCCCTCTTCCTGTTTTTGTCTCTCTCCTGCTGACATATACATCTAATATTATACAATTAAAATTACAATGACACCTTAGTCTGTTTGCTTTTGTTTCTGTTCCAGGATGTTGTCCATTGCCCTGATTACAGACAGGTGGCATACCTAATCTGCTAACTATACTGGATTTTAAAATACTTTATCCAAGAAATATAGTTACTGATTGCCTAGAACCATATGTTCTCCAGTTCTGTTGGGAGTACCTGTGTCATGATTTTAATGACAGAAATCAACTCATGACACACACACACACAAAAAAACAACTAGTTATCCACCTATTTCAGCTCTTCAAGTCACATTCAGGAAAGTTTAAGTTTGTAAAAAACCACTGCAGTACTGTTTTTCAAATAAAAGCTACTATAAGCAACGTGTACATAGAAAATATTACCAAGCAGTGTGGCAATGAGAGTAAAATCTTTATTTGCAAACCTGGAAACGGAAAAAAGAGCAAAAAGCACTAGGTATTTTTCCTGCTTTACAGTATCCAGGAGAAAGCAGATCCAGACCATCAGGGATACCAGAGACATAAGGCGAACCACAGAGGTGTCTGTTCACAGAAGCCTCTGACAAATGAAAAAGAAGAAAGAAAAATAAAAAGAGTGAGAGAGAAGGCATTACACAGAAGCAAAAGGACATAGAAACTCATGGGAGGACATTGTAATTACCAAGGAGATGGTGACATGGGTAGTCCTCTGACTCAGGAAGGGAATGCTGAGACTTAACAGGGAAACATTCTTGAAAGGCAGAACTGAAGCTACCTTGCAGAGGAGATGTTTGAAAATGTGTGTCTTTCTTTAATTGCATCATTGAAAGGCTGTATTGAAAAGAAGCAAGGAATTTTCTTCCAGACACTTCTTCAAGTATCATACAAAGTAAATTACCATTGTTATTGATCCCTACAGTATAGATCAATGATCTGTGAAGCTCTACACAGAGTTACTTTTTGGATGAAAATCTTCATACTGGTTGGGTTTTTTTTTTGTGATCTGATCTCTCTGAGGACAAAGGCCTAATCTAAAGCTGCAACACTTAAGTTATCGGTGTAAATCAACTAGACAGAAGTTTCTGAAATGTGTGTTTCAGCAAGACATTGAATAAATTATTTGTTAACATTTTCTTCAACTGCAAGTTATTTTCAGCAAAAAGAAAGCATCCAGCCATCATATGACAGGCTCAGGAACTAGATGAAAATTAAATAGCAAGGACAAGTTGAAAACCAAAGAACAAGGTAAGAGTATATGACCTCTGAGCTCCCTTCTTAAAAACTAGCAGCAACACCTTTCAGTGTGCCTTTTAAATATAGGTCATTCAGGCTTAAAAATGGCAAAAAATGACAAACCATAGTACCCCTCCAATCCTGAGGATATAGTCTCCCCAAGTTATCTGCTGAGTCTATTACATCTACTGGAAATAGAGCTGCTCAGCTGTTCACTTCCCTAAACTGTTCATCTGCTGTCAGTTTAAATCTCTTGTGCAATATTTGAGCCTTTCAGTTACTGTAACAGCAATTTTAGCTTTCAGAAGGCTTCCCCTTCCTCTTGAAGACTGATACTTGTTTTGCAATTCAGTTCATTTTTTTATAAATATTTAATTTTCATTTGCCTCCTTAAAATTTGCTCTGGGCGGATAGTAACATAAATTTATTATGAAGTATATTTATCTTTATGCACCTCATTAGTGCTCAAGAGTTCTGTTGCCTCTACCAAGCATTCTGCTGAACAAACTTCTGGAGGCCAAATTCAAACGCGTGGAGGAAATGAAGCATAAAATTAGGATGCAGTTCTTTCATGCCCCTTTGCAGTCTTTCTCAAAACCACATGCCACACTGGAGTTCAGAAGTGGCATTAAGGCTGGTTATCTGAAGACAGAAGACATGATCCAGATTAATTTTAAATCCCCAGTACCACAAATACATTGCAATGACATTATTTCCAGGAATAACCCAAAGTGGTAGTTTCAAGGGTTATAAACACACATCCAAAATAAGAAAATGGGTGGAAAAAAAATTTATTCTTTAAAATTAAACAAGAACTACAAGGGCTTGTAGTTGTTATCCAATATTACTTTATACTAGTTGGTATCCAATATTTACTTTATTGTTATCCAGTATTACTTTATATTACTTTATGGGTTTACTTACTGCTGATGGCTCTTGAGACATGAACACAACTGAACAAATGAGCCAGTTCAAATCAAATTTGATGCTGCTTGAGAAAAACAGAAGTGAAGAATGAAACAAAGAGCACACAAAAAGTTTTAAGATTAAAAAAGAAAAAAAAATCATATCTCTACTATTCAGTGTGTCAGTGAAGAAATAACTGACAAAGACAATGGAACTGTTAGCCCATCCGCGCATCTCATCATGAAAATGACTGATGACATTTTTAATGAACCTTCAATTCAACCACAGTTAGCAAATATTCTGATAACATAAGTATCCTGAAAACACCAGCCAGGAACAGCACAGCATGATTTCAATCTGTTTTCACTTAGGTGCATCACTACAGTTTCGTAGAAACAGGTCATAATTAATGGAATTATTTTTGTCATTTTAAAACATTTATGATGTAACTTTCTCATCTGGCTATCAAAAAATCCTCTCCGATCTCTTCCCTGTTAGGGGGAAACTAGAGAGAAGTTAGTAACTGGGCAGTTCCAAGCATATCTGCATACTTTCTCCCCCAGAGACCAGCATCACAACTACTTCACGTTGTATCAGTAAGTTCACATTTTTTCATTAGTATTAAGTAATTTGGGAGCTGGAGAGTAAAAAAAATACAAAAGCAGTTAATTCTGGGTTTAATTATGATATCAGAAATCATTGCGATGCTAAACACCTTGATTACAATAATTTAATAAATCAGTCTGCATGAAAACCATACATTATACTAACTACAGTTAGCTTAATGCAACACAGAGAAAAAAAATATAACACTGCAAACATTTAATGAAAGTATTAAAAGAATAAGCGCTTTTTACTCTGTCTCTGCAGATAAAAGGGATGGACAGTGCATTACACTCTTAAATCAGTGGGAAAACATATAGTCAAAACAACCTTTACTGGCGCTCTTGAAATGTCATGATGATCGATTTTCTTTAAAATGGACTGATATTAATATTTGTGTACTTCAGATAAAACAACTGGTATTTTGAAAAGTTCATGCTGGTCTACTAAAATAGATAATGCAGTTCTCCATATCACTAAAATACCCATTAATCTGCCATGCTGTGGTATTTCAGACATTTAAACAGGTTTCTGGTTATTATTATAATGGACTTCAGACTGGGTTTATAAAAGATTAGGTATTGTTCCAACGCATTCTCTTCTTATTCTCAGACAAAACATAATGGTTAGAACTGCCAGTAAGGTCCTACGATTTTTCAAAATACTGTTCACTGCAGATGCCTCTGG